GGATGGGGAGGGTGAGGTATGTTAGTTGTTTCTTTCTTGCTTGTGTGTTTGGGGACGGTGATTAATTGGTATTGAGAATAAAGCTAATGTGGAAATCATACAGTTGTTCGGCGCATACCTAACAGAAGCTCCTCATCCCGCTCCCCACTACTTCGGCACAGGAGAATGTTTCCTCTGGCGCGCTACCCTCGTTTCCTCCTCCCTCCTAGCAAATCTTCCTCCTCCCCCTTCAGCCGACACAACAAATTCCCAACGCTCCACCACCATCGGCGTCCCTCATCCCTCCTCCCTCCTTTCCCCCACAACCACTCAAGCCCCACCTAAATCCCCCGCCTTCTCTCCAAAATCAGGCACCAGCACCCCCGAACGTATCCGTTTCAAAGCATTTCCTTACTCGGGTATAAATGACTACCTGATGTTATGCGAAACGGGATTTTTATCAATAGGTGGTGGTGATGGACATTATGGACTTTGGTTGGATGATACCTTTGAGAAGGGGATAAGTAGTAGTTGTCCTACTTTTGGGAATGAACCATTGAGTGAAGAGGGGGAAAAATTTGATATTCTTGGGGTGGAGGTTTGGAGTATTGGGAATTAGGGGGAGGGTAGAGGATAGAGGATAAGATGCAGGATTGATTGGAAAGGGAGGGGAAGCAGTAATTGGAAGTGGATGAGAATGAGAAGGAGGAGGACGTTCGGAGAGGAAATGGGGGGAGAAGATCACAGGATGACACCCGTTTGATATATGCATGATATGATACCCTTATTGTGAAATTTGTAGGCTGCTTAAGCATTTTATTTTACTTCAACTACCTAGGTACTTTAGTTACTTTAATTCTATTATTATAATGGAGATTTATAAATATATTTACATATCCTGCAGCGTTAACAACCCACTCATCACGTTATTCGTGATATAGCCATGCGAAGTTCTGTTCTAAGCAGGCACTATATTTCTTGGGTATTTATGTTCTTGAGCTCTCGACTGCTCATACTTGATTTCATCTAATACCACAGAAATCTCCCCAGCAAGAGCTACATCCATACCCCAAAACAAAACCTAGAAAGCTAGAAAAGCACCTTCATCAATTCCCTACCCCGAGCAAATCCACTAAACTCAACTCAACAACTCAACTCATTCATAATTAAATAACCTAATGCATATCCAAATCACTAGATGGAGTCTCCTTTTTAATTTTTCGAAAGTACGTATCCACTTTCACATTTTCCTTTTTGATAGGTCGTTGTCGAGCTTTAGGTTTTGGTTTTTTAACCAAAGTCGGTTGAGGAGGATCTTGGAGGAATTCTTGGGAATTGTAGAGGGAGGCTTTGATGTCGTGGGGATTGGAGGAGGTGAGTTGGAGGTAGGTGTATATATCTATTTTGAAACGAGGAAGGATGTGTAGGTTAGTTTTGTTTTTTGTCTTTAAGCAATTGTGTATTTATTACTTTTTATTTTCATGGGGGGTGGGGCGAAGAAGGAAGGAAGGAAGGAAAGGGGAAATATACCGGCTTTGTAATATATTGTACCTCTTTTTGTTTTGTCTACTAACCCTAATTCTTTGATAGCTTTCAAGACTCGATACACATCCATCTTATCGGAGAAGTTCTCGGTATAGACGCATATGAGTCGAGATCTTTGAAGGAGACCAGATCCATCATCGGGAGCTACTTTGGCGCCTATGCCGAGAGAATTGGTCGAGGTAGATTTTGCGATTGCGGACCAGATTTCGTTTACTTCAGAGGGAAGACAGAAAATCATCCACTTGTGAGAAACTAGTTAGAGCTTTGGATTTGGGATATGATTTGAGGAAGGGGACAGAGATCAGATTTCTGAGGGAGGGGATTTTCTTCTTCGGATTCGAATATCACGCAGGCATTGGAAATTTCCGAAAGCCACTCAGGTGAGCATTAAGTGAGAGCAAAGAAGTCTATCAGGAGTAAAATATAAGCGAGATAGAACATACCTTCCCAGTAGTACATTGACAATCAATCGCTGTATCTAAAATTTTCTGCACAATAGCTTCTTTCTCTTTATCTATCAACCGATTGATTGCAATTGTGGATTTTCCAGAATTTTCCTTCTCAATTGTGTTTCGAAGAGTTCTAAGCTCCTGCAGTAAACGATTCCCTTCGGATACACATTTTCCCCAGCTGTTTATAGAATCAGCATACGGAAACTGCTCATTGAGATTTCATGTACACAAAATGTACTCACTCGCTGTCTTTATCAGGAGGAGCTTCTTCATGTATTGCAATACGTTTCGGTGCCTCACGGAAGGGATTGGTAATGTATATCCATGGAATCGATTCAGAAACTTGAGTCGTCTTTGGTGGTAATCGCTTTAGAAAAGCTTCAACGCTCTCTTCAAGTTGCCATGCACATTCTTGACCTGCATACGGATTATACATGGTTGATTTTGGTGGTGGACTTGCAAGGGCTTGGGCAACATTCGCATCTGCCTTTTCGGTCAAAGATGGTTGATGATTCTTCCAATATGCTGTATCATCGAATTCTGAAGCACGATCTTCGAATGATTCTTTGGTTGCTGAGTCACCTGATATGGAGGTTAATAATGGGATGAAGTAATATAGAGGGTTGTATTACCATAGAAATCTGATTCATCTGATAGATAGCCCTCGTTTTTGGATACTTTGGTTTGTTTCCCGTTTGCCATTTTGTCTCCTAGTCAACTTCCTCACATGAACATCGTTGGATGATAGGTGAAGTAAAGTTGAAGTTGGAAACTGGAAAAAGCGTAGATGAATCGTTGATATTTTGTAGGTAAGCTGTTGATTATATGACCACTAGATCAAAGTGTATGTGACAGCAACAAAGGATACCTAGTAAGTATGTACACAAAAAGATTTATCAAAAGTTGAAATTGAAGAGAGTTTTATCTTTGGAAGTGTTGAGAAGATTCACTTCAAGGAAGATGATGCACGGACCATATGGGGTTTCCTTTGACGGACATTCAGATCTTGCTTGTATGGACGAGATGCAGAATGTCCTGTTCTTCTTGATAAGTCAATTGAGATAATGAACTTGGAAAAGGTCCTAGTGTTGTGGCCTTTGAATTTTATGTACTCTCTTTGAAATGGAGGCCGGTTTTCGAAAAAGAAATCTTTTCACCAGAATTCTTTGGCTTCCAGGCCTGCCTTTCAAACAAACGACAACGGCGAGTTGCATATACTTACAACAGGGGTTTGGAAGCAAAAACCCATTTACAAGGGATGCATTGGTGTGCATATTAGTGCATGAGACTTTATCAATATGACAGGTAAATTGAAGAAAAGGAAGTATGACGAGAACCTTGAGTATTTTGAACAATAACAGTAATAAATATGCCATCAACCGAGTAGAGGTGAGAAGTGAGGGGGAGGAGTGGCCAATTTATCCGCTCCACTACTGTCTCGTCCTCATGTATGGGCGGGAGAAGGAAGAAGACTGACACGGATAGCGGAACCCATTTGTCAGATACTCGTTGATATCTCGTTTGAAACGTGCAGAGTTCAAGTAACCTGGAAAGAGATATTTGTGGCTTTAGTCTATTGTAAGTGGCGGTGCAATGTGGCTGGTACATGACAACAACATTTTCCTTAGGAAATATCCCAACCTCATTCATAGCAAGATCAGCATCAAAATTTAGATCTTCCGAACGAAGATCTCTTCCTGTCAAAGCACTAATTATTTGTACCAAAAACTTTTCAAGGAGAACGAATTTGCATGCTAGAAGGCCAAGTCATCTATCTATCAATCAGTTAAACATGGCTTCAAAAATCAAAGTTCTTGATTCAGATCTCTTAGACCTTCCTCCGAGTTGCATAGAGTTTTGGCCAAATAATCCTTCATGGTTCATCATTGGAACCTATGAGTTGGATAAGGAGGAAGAGGATTCATGGGTACATGTCGAGAAGTCTTCGAGTGAAGTCATTGTGAATACTGAACCATTTCCACATAAAGAAGGAATGGTTTCTTCAGCTCCCTTGAGCTTGATCGATTATTCTCATCCCGAACATATTTTTGTTGAAGATAAAAACATCATCTCAAATGGATTGGAAGATCAATCAGAGCCTCCATCTACTCTTCAAAAGAGGAATGGAAGTTTAATGCTATACCATCTTGATGGTGGTTCTCTGTAAGCATTAATCACAAGTTTATGTCCTTCTTGTCACATCTGATATGATTAGGACTCTTTGTCAATCACGCCCGTATCCATATGGAGCAATCTATGATCTACATTTTTGTCCCACGGATCAAGATTACTTCGCAGTCTCCTCCAGCACAGGCAGGATATCACTCTTCAAAATAACGGCCGATGGAAATACTTCTCCTAATCTCGAGCATATTAATACTTGGAAAGTATTTGATGATTCCGTTCTTATCACCTATTTTGCATGGTGTCCCTCAACATCGAAAGATGGTTCCCTATCTTTAGCTGTGGCAGCTTCTACTGGAGTTGTTCAAATACTTAATATCACTGGGGCTATATATGGCAAGATACACGGTTCGGATTTACGGTTACGGAAAGAAGAACCATCAGTATCGTTGCATTCTTTGAAAATACCATATTCAGGCGAGGAACCTCAATATGCATATTGCTGTTATTGGGCTTGTCACCCTTTCACATGTTCCGAAAAGTTCCACGGGATATTTTCAGGAGGCGATGATTCGAAACTCCGGATTTGCATTTTAGGAAATTCTCGAAATAGAGATAATCATTTTGACTTGAATTTGCAAAACTCGTACTCAGGGCATGAAGCTGCTGTTATTTCTATTCTTCCATTGCCATCCGGGGATAAAAAATGGGTTCTCTTAACTGGTAGTTACGATAATAAAGTTCGAGTTATCAATATGGGATGGTCATTTGGCCCGGTGTCTCCTTATGAACTTGCCAAAGAGACACCAATCGATGTTGTAGCAGATTTAGATGTTGGAGGAGGAGCATACCGTCTTGAATTCCTTCACGAATACCCCAGGCAAACAGAAAGCGACAAAGATATCTCCTTCAGGATCCTGGCATCATGCATGGAAGTTGGCGCCAAGATTCTAGAAGTCCAGCGAAAGGAAGATATTTGGGATGTTAAGGTTATCGCATCCATCGATATTGACATACCTAAATGGCCAAACCCAACTAACAAATCCCAATTATGCTATGCCAGCGCAGTACAACCTGGTAGAAAAGATGGAGGTTTGGTGTTCGTCAGTTCTTATTTTAATAAGAGACGACTGAGCGGTACACCAAAAAGGGTACAACCTACTATTACGAGTGGAGATACGATTTTTGTTAGTACGTGTTTTAATAAGCGACAATTGGGTGTTTATAAATTTGTGGAGGATGAGAAGAATGAAATTGAAGAAATTACAAAGGGTGTTGAGGGGCTTTGAGTATGTTACTTGAGAATGCGTACTTTTAACGATCATAGATGAGGAACTGGGCAAGGGTTTGATAATAGATATTGCTGGAATATTACCAGCCTCGGGATGCTCTGATAGATACATAACTTTTCAAAACTTATAAAGAAAGAGGACTATTCATTCATATGTAATAAACATTAGCCCAAGCATATCAAAATGCTACCTACCTGACCTCACAATAAAATCCCATCAATGATCACCTAACTTCCTATCTACCTCAACCAAATCATCCTCTTCCCAATAGCAAGTACCTACCTACCTACAGCCCCCTCCCAGTCCCGACCCAAGCACCACTCATCCACCACCATTCAATATCTAATACTCAATACTCAATACTCACCATCCAATAAATACATCAAAACAAATATCCCCAGCCCCTCGAATAACCAATTCACCGAGGAAAAGAGCTCACCTCTCACCTCTCATCCCTCATCTTTCATCCCTCATCTTTATCAACAGAATAATCAATAACTGACAATTATCAACCAACAATCTAACAATCTAACAGTCCACTCGAATAATCCATTAAGAATATTCCTTAGCGGCCTATCTTGAATGGGATAGGATTGAATACAACGGGGTGCAGCGATTCGGGAGTTAGATATTGGGCTTTGTGAGGAATGCGGTTGGCAAGTTCTTGTGTATATATGAAGTACACAGATCGATATGATTTAGTTGACCTTTAACCTACCTATCGATAGCCATTTATTAAAATCCGAGCACTCGATTGTAGAATATACTCTAAGAGTCTTTCTTTCCTCTATCATTTCCGATAAGATTGTGTACCTATTCAATGATCAAATTCTCAATCCACTTGACAATCAAAATCCATTTATTCACATTAAAAGCATGCATCATCTAAATAGTAAACACCAAGACAAGATGATGCAAATACATAATCTTCATTTATAACAACGAGCCAAGAACAACATTCTACATTCATCAACTAAATTGACGGCATAGTTTTTCCTCAAACTCCATATGAATTTTTCACCTCAACCAAAAGATTTCTCCATCATCCTACACCACCCTAAAATTCATGCCCTATTGCACCTATGCAACAAGTTTCAACCCACTCCCGTTCTTACCAACTTCACAGACACCACATACTGCACAGACAGTTCCCTTGTATTTAGCTTGATATTTGCTACCATCGAATGCACAGACCTCGAATGGAGAGCCAGAGTAAATAGGTGTATGTGAGGCAGCACAAACATCAAATTCGGCAAATTGATCGAATTCAATTTCGTGGGTATCATTAGGGTTGCGCTCACATGCAGCTTTAATCTTACGAGCCTAGATATCCAATTAGTACACAGAATTAATTGGGCTAAGAGATTGCTTACATTATCAAGAACCTTAGCACTTCCGCCGTTTGCCAACATTCTGTTTGCAAAACTTAATGCGGAATTATAGTTCTTGCTAGAGTAGGCCAACTTCATCGCACTTGTTAAAGCCAATTGTCTATGAACAACCTCCAACTTAGGAATAGTGAAATAAGCTGACAATTCCAAACTGCGCTTCAGTTTCTCTGGAGATTTTGATATTTCATCAGCAGTTCCAATCTTCCGCCTTGAAATTTCAATGGCCATTGCTATACTGTATTCTGATGCTGTAGTGATAAGTTTCTTTGCCTCGGATACTTCCGATGCAGTTGAGACCGCGTTGACAAGTAGAGCATGAAGGATGCCCTTGAATATTGTAGCGCCATCTTCAAGCTTGTTTTGTCGCATGGCATCATATCCTTTCTGTAGGTCGACGGTTGCTAATGATTCGATATCTCGTGGAATAACAGGAAGAACTTTACGAGGATCTGTCTCGTCAACTGTTCGTCGAACATAATTGACTAAAGGTGGAAGGCTTGCTGATGCTGGGAGGTATGTTTTTGATGCTTGGTAAATCTCCAAGAATCGAGGTTTCAAAGGTTCAAAGTTGACAGCGCCGAGTTGACGGTTAAGTAATTGCATAGCAGTTTCGAAGGAACCACCAGCCACGTGGTCAGCAGCGATAGGGGAATTGCGAGCCCATAAATCAGCCTCACTACTACCCGCGCCAGCTTCTGCACTATCAACATTGACGAAGTCACTCTCAACTTCTGGAACGATATCATCACCCATGTCCCATCCGGCAGCATCTTCGTCATCGTCAGCCTCAATAAGAGCGCCAGTCTTAGTTTCATCGTCTCCAGCTTCATCAAACCCGAACCCATTTGCAGCAGCAGAAGGTTCATCTTCTAGAGAAAGACCTTCGACTTGACCAAGCAGAGCCTTCTCAAAGAATGATTGCGAAGTTGCCTTTGTTGGCCAGTTTGCCTTGAATGTAGGGATGACAGGTTTAGGAGGAGTAAGTGGAGATCCGAGGGATGGTAAAGTGATTTGTTCTTCGGTAAGACCTGAAGCCTCAAGAATGGACTCGCATTCCTCTGCAAGTCCATGTGACTTTGCGGTCATGTAAGCAAGTGGGTCTGATATAGGTTAGTATCTTTCGCGTGAGTACCAGCATTTTTGATATAAACTTACAAAGATCAATTTCCTTGAACATTTGTATCCTGTCTTGAACATCTCCGAGATATAATGCGTTTTGGAAGCGGGCGGTGAAGTCACCACGATGTTCTGCAATTTTGGCCATTCTTGTTAACTTTGCCTCGTCTCCAGTGGCAAGATACAGGAACGATAATTTGTCAAATTGTCGTAACTTCTGGTATGTCATCTCAACGATTTGGTGATTACCATGAGCAAGGGCTTCCGCAGTTAATCTCGACCACAACTTTGGTCGATCTAATTGCTTGGCCATCTCCACGGCGACTTCCAAGTTACCACACTCGATTGCTAATTCAAATCGAGTTTGTGGATCTTGAACGAATTGCAAAGCGATTTCTGGATAACCCTTCTTTTGCAAATAAGAGATAATACTTTGACCAACAAGACTGGAGTTCTTAATGATTTGCAACATCTCCTCATAATTTCGCTTCACAAGGGCAAGCTTGAAACGATACTCTGTAGGGTCGATATTCAAAATCTTTGGTTTGGCACTTCGGTCCAAGCAGTACATAGTACGTGCTTTAACCCTGACAAGGTAGACTGTCTGATCAAGCGTGCGAACGATACCATTATCTCCGTTCAATAAGGTGTATTTGATGTGGTTCAAAGTCGAGTAAAGAAGGACGCCTGCATCATCCCAAGTAGCACTTTTAATACGGATGGTTTCGTGAAGGGAGCTAACTTGTTCTAAAGATTTCGTAACAATCGTGACGTTATGTTTGCTCAAAAGAGCCGCGTACAAACCATCGTTGGACCAAACGACATACTTGACACCGGATACAGCAAGTTCGGCAGTAGCTTTCTTTTGTTGGATATCATATAAATGAACAGCAGTGGGGGTGATCAACAAAAGGTTACCAGTTCCACCAAAGTAGATATCGATGGTTCCATTTGGAGGCTTAATGGTCTTGGTAGTAGAGTTGGAAAGATCTTTGATATCAATTTGCTGAGTTGTAGCATTGAACACAGCGAATCTGTTTCGTGCTACAAAAACTGCAGAAGTACCTTGACCTCGCTTCGTGTCATTTGAGTCCATTGAACTAGCTCCATCCCGAGGAAGATTGATGAGCTCGTATGAACCACCATCTGCAGGAGAAGTAACCAAGACAGCTCGTTCAGCTGGATTGTAGGAGAGTGATCTAGGTGGAACCCAAGGGCTACCGAGTTTCTTCAATGTTAATAGTGTTGGGCTCTCGAGGTTCTTCTGAAAATCATAAGATTTGACATGTTTATCCTTGGTGATATAAAAGAGATTGTTTTGATAAAAGGCAGAAGCTGGGCGTTCTCGCTCAAGCTTAAATACCATGACACCATTATCGTGACCAGCGGCAAAAAGATTTATCTCAGGATGAGCAGCAATGACCCAAAACCTATCATTCTCTCGCTTGAATGATTGCACTGATGTACGCTTGTTGAGATCCCAAACTCGGATGGTTTTGTCTTCGCCAACTGACAAGATCAGGTCTTGATGAGGGTGAAATAAGCATCCTGACGCATTTTGGAAATGTCCCCGACAGGTATCGACCTCCCAAGCTTTAGTTTCGCTCATTCGCCATAATTTCACGAGTCGATCATCACCCGCAGAAACGATCAGGGGTAACGTTGGATGGAAAGCTACCCAATTGACACCTCGGTCATGACCTTCAAGCACAAATTTGACTACAGCATCGGTATTTCCAAACATATCCGCTTGAGCCTGGTTCCCTCTCGACATCTGATCCTCGAAAGTCATGGATGTTGGCGCCGAATGCTTCTTTCGCAAGCCTGAAATATCCCAAACTCGAACCGACTGATCAAGGGATGCAGACACTACCAAATCGTCTTTTGGATGGAATTGAGCGCACATTGTATAATGATTGTGACCAGTCATTGTGCAAACTGAAAAGAAGGTTAGTACCGCATACGTTTATAACGTTGACAGATTCCCAGCTTACTTAAAGAGCGATTTTGCCAGTTCCATATTCTAATAGTTTGATCATCCGAACTGGAAATGATCCAAGGGAGCTCGTGATGAAAGAAAACTGTGCGAACATAATCCAAATGTCCATTCAAGGTAAAAAGACATCTCCTTGTCTGCAATGACCAGACCTTGATCTTGTAATCATCTCCACCAGAGACAAAGAGGGGTTGTGTTTTGTGGAAGTCAATTCCTCGAACTGGACCATCATGCTCCTCGAATCGATCAATCAATGTTCCCATACGGTAATCCCATAGCTGAATAGTCGAAGAATGTAAAGAAACTAAGATCCATGGCCTATGAAAATAGTTAGATAGAGCTGCTGCGCATTGAATTTATGAACGAACCGTTTAGGATGGAAAGCAATGCCCTTTGCTCTGGATGATTTTGACTCAAACTTATGGGAGTATTAGTACTGTAGCCCATCTGATTGAATGTCTCAAGCTCAGAGTATGAAGCGCGACATACCTTCGTCAACATTGTAGGGGAGGAATTGGAATTAGATGCCATGTTGACCGATGCTCTGAATGACGAACAGCCCTATACGTTGCGCATCAAGTAACTGGGCAAATTAATTAATATCCTCCTAACGTGTCACTTTCTCAGATATGGCGCACTGTAGAGGAAAAAGTCGTAAAAAGAGAAGATATTTGGTGGTTTGTTTGAAATTAAGGTAAAGTACAGGAGGAATATGGTATTGAATTTCGAAGCGTGTGAAATGCGACGTTGCTGTTTCCCGCAATTAAGGCATCAACAGACTAAAATTGACAAGGCTGCCACCCAAATTCACACCAAAGCTTCACCAGCCACAGGAGCTTGGAAGGATCCCTGAACCAATTTTGGTTGGAGCTCTAGATTATGGAAATCTGTCCCTTGGAAAGAATGCGATAAGATCTTAATGCTGGTCAGCCTCGTGTATGGTATCTTTATATTCTGCTTAGTAGAAAAACCTCTATGTAACTTTTATTGCTGATGTTGATATCACACATGTCTCAAATTCAATTATACATTACAAAGTTTATTTTGTTTAAATTCCCAGGCGGACAAGAGCTATAAAGATTTGTCCCGCCGTCATTCGCCTTATCTCTACTATAGCCTATGGAAGCTACCCTGTGAAAGTCGAGAACCTCTTTCACTTCCCGCGAAAGTGTTTAGATCTCCACAACCAAGATGGGAGCCTTCAAGTTCCCTTGGGGACTCTCGGGAGCTCTATTGGCATCTACATATCTTCATTCCATAGGTGTCACTGCTAGCCCATCCATCAATGTTGGCTTGCAAACATCTTTTCCATCCGCCCCGTATCTCCTTGAGCTCCTGTATGTCCAATTCCCTGGATGCTATTCAAGCAATACTGATTCATATATAGAGAGACAGCAGCAACTGAAAATGTTTCCTCATACTTTCCTCTTCTTGACCGAATTGCAGATGGCTATTTTACCAAAGCTTCCACAGATAGAGACCTATATGACCAATTTATACAAATTCTCAAAGAAGATGGACATATGGATGCTGAGTCCCTTTCGTCATACCAGCTTGCATTATCCATGAGAGTTGCCGCACCTCGTATTGAAGCACAATTTCAATATTACCATACCGCTGTAGAAGCCTCAATAAAAAGAGAGAAAGACTCTTCCTGTCCAACGTGGGTGCTCTTTGATGGGAACCAATATTGTTCACCAACATTAAATGAGCCCCATGGAAAAGTAAACGGGCCTTCGTGAGTTTGAATGGTTGATTGAAAGCGTCAATATGCTAATCATTAGCCTGCAGACAAACAAAAGAACTACCATTCGATTATGTTCTTGGGAATCCTGACGGACCTCATTCTATATTATATGTTGATATAACATCTCCAACATTTGGACATTTTCACAAGACTTTGGTGAAAACTGCCCGTGAAGGTAAAACATCTTATCGTCTCCGTCATAGGCGAGCTATTGATTCTGGCTCAAATAAGCCTCTAATGATTCCGGGCTATGGCGTAGAACTCGCTCTCAAAAGAACTGATTATATCGTGATTGACGACCGCAAAGATGATGATGAAGAGGTACCAAAATCCAAGACCGAGACCAAAGTCAAGTTTGAAGATGAAGAGGTGGCGGACCTTAAGCCTCTCTCTACATCAGAGCTCTCTTCCCTTGGCCTGAAGGCATCTAGTTTCATTATGCAGAGTGAAAACCCATTTGACACACTCATTAAGCTTTCACAAGATTTCCCAAAACATTCTAGTGCGATTGCTTCTTATAATGTTTCTTCCGACTTTCTTGCAGAGCACAATTACAACCGCGGCAAACTCGTCCCTGCGGGCTTCAACGTATGGTGGGTAAATGGCGTGCAGATGATTGAGCGTCAAATTGATGCTATAACCATGCTCGATATTATGCGGAAGGAGAGAAAATTGATTAATGGTGTTAGCGAGCTTGGTTTGACAGGACCTGAAGCTGTCCAGCTACTTTCCCACCCTGACATTTCCGACGCGAAAAGTGATGGAGACGTTCAGAGATTTGATTGGAGAGATGAGATCGAGGGTGGTAGAGTTATCATGTGGTTGAATGATATCGAAAAGGACAAGCGCTACGCAGAATTCCCGGCAGCACTTGGTGCTTTACTTCAAAGAACGTATCCTGGCCAGCTACCCTCAGTTCGCAAGGAAATTTTCAATCTAGTTGTACCAGTGGACTTTAGCACGCCGGAGGATATCGCTCTTGTTTCTGAGACTTTAGCAAGCTTCGTCAAGCGAAAGTTGGTCCTCCATATTGGACTTGTTCCAATTACAACGTCTCCAGCCGCTATAGAGCAAGCGCGAGTCTTGTATCATCTTTTAGATGTCTATGGACTCTCTGGAGCTATTGCTTATCTTGAAGCCTCCGTTTTGAATGGAGTTGCCAGTCCTACCGAAAAGGCTTTTGAGGCCGCTATTGAGGGACGCGAGGTTCGAGCTGAGAAAGTAGCAATCCCCCTGAAAGATTTATTGGAATCAGATTATTACAGTGATCGAATCGACGCGTCCAACCGCTGGAGCACAAGACTCTCCGCCAATGGCGAATTTCCACCGATATTTGTGGATGGTGTTGCACTTCCTAGAGATGATAATTGGTTGCAAGGAATGGTTCAACGTCTCACCGTAGACTTGCAGGTTATCCAGCAGGGGGTATTCAACGAAATTTTTACTCAGGATTCCTACATTCCAGATTTCTTCCTCTCTGAAGCAACAGCACGAAGAAACGCCCTTATCATCCCAGAAAGTGACAAAAACCTCAAAATAATTGATATCACCATTCTCTCAAAACACCATGGTGATGTGTTATCCAAATTACCCAAGATTGGAGCAGATTCGGCATGGTCTAAGGAAGATTGGGCTCACATGGTTTTGGTAGCAGACTTATCGTCCGTTACGGGTATGGATCTCCTCTTGTCTGCGGCTAAGTTCAGGGAGTCCACCTCGCCTCTTGAGATTACTATCATACATAATCCTTCTAGTGATAAGGAAACATCTGATTTTAGCACTCGTCTGTTTTCACATATCCAAAAAAGGTCCGATGAAACATTTGTGGACGCGCAGGATTTACCTACTTTGGCGAACCAGGACGAACTTGAATTGGATTACACGACCAAAGACTCTGCAAAGACCTACTGGAAGCTTGCTGGTCCATTGATCCGATCTGCGGGTTTATTGCCAGGTGAAAGTGGCTTACTGCTCAATGGAAGGCTTGTTGGACCAATACCCGCTGGTTCCGAACTGAAACAAGAAGACTTTGAGCAGTTGATTTCATATGAACGTGCGAAACGTATAATTCCGGTCTTTGCTGCGATGAAAGCTCTTGGTTTGTCAGAAAAAATTACTGATCCTTTAACTGGTGCGAAGATTTCTTCCATGGTGGCGCTGGCATCTGTGTCAGATACACCTGATGGTATATTTGAACAGGCACCAACCACCAGAGTAAGTGCATTTGATATTTGGAACTCTTCTTATACATCCATTGAAGCCGGAGATTCATCCACAGCAACTATACACATGACTGTCGCTATTGACCCGGCCAGTGAGCAGGGACAAAAATGGGTACCAATTGTAAAGGCCATTTCCGAGCTTGAAGGAGTATATCTTAAGATGTTTCTGAATCCAAAAGAACTTCTTCAGGAACTTCCAGTCAAGAGATTTTACAGATATGTTCTAGACTCAAAGCCTACTTTCAATGATGATGGGGCTTTAATAACCCCTGGTGCCTCATTCACCGGCGTGCCACAGGAAGCGTTGTTAACTGTCAAACTGGATATACCACCGGCTTGGCTAGTTGCCCCCAAAGCCTCAATTCATGATCCAGATAACATCAAACTCAGCTCTATTAAGTCTGATGTAGATGCTTTGTATGAGCTTGAGCATATTCTTATTGAAGGCCACTCACGCGAGATGCCATCTGGCAGTCCTCCTCGCGGAGCACAACTTATTCTAGGAACTGAAAAGGACCCACATTTTGCTGATACCATCATCATGTCTAATCTAGGCTATTTCCAGTTCAAAGCAAATCCTGGATTCTACAAGATTGATTTACAGAATGGAAGGAGCTCTGAAATTTTCAAAATAGACAGCATAGGCTCAAAGGGATGGGCTCCTGTGCCTGGTGATGAGTCCACTGAGGTTGTTCTCATGAGTTTTCAGGGAGCTACTTTATATCCCCGTCTTTCCCGCAAGCCTGGTATGGAGGGTGAAGATGTCCTCGAGGCTAAGGTTGAGTCGGCAATGGATTTTGTATCCCGCGGACTTAACTTTGCGCAAGGTCTTTTGGGTAGCAAGAATAAAGCTACTGCCGCAGTGGAAGAGCATGCCGAGATCAATATCTTTTCTGTTGCTAGTGGCCATCTTTATGAGCGTATGCTGAACATCATGATGGTCAGTGTCATGAAGAACACAAAGCACACAGTCAAATTCTGGTTCATTGAACAGTTTCTATCTCCATCTTTCAAAGATTTCATTCCTCATCTCGCCGCTGAATATGGCTTTAAGTATGAGATGGTAACATATAAATGGCCTCATTGGCTCCGAGGGCAAACGGAAAAGCAACGTGAAATCTGGGGTTATAAGATTCTCTTTTTGGATGTCCTTTTCCCATTATCCCTCGATAAGGTCATCTTTGTGGACGCCGATCAAATCGTTCGTACAGATATGATTGAACTCGTAAATCATGACCTCCAGGGTGCACCATACGGCTTCACTCCCATGTGCGACAGCCGCACCGAAATGGAGGGTTTCCGCTTTTGGAAGCAAGGTTACTGGAAGAAATTTCTTCGAGGCCTACCCTATCATATCAGTGCCCTCTACGTTGTAGATCTTCGCCGCTTCCGCCAAATTGCTGCAGGGGACCGTCTTCGTCAACAATATCAATCTCTCTCCGCAGACCCAAATAGTTTGTCAAACTTAGATCAAGATTTACCAAATCATATGCAACAGGTTCTTCCTATTCATAGTTTGCCACAAGAATGGCTCTGGTGCGAGACTTGGTGTAGTGATGAGAGTCTCAAAGAAGCGAGAACGATTGATTTGTGTAATAATCCGTTGACAAAAGAACCTAAATTGGATAGGGCGAAAAGACAGGTTCCCGAGTGGACGATGTATGATGATGAGATTGCGGCAGTGGATCGGAAGAGGAAGGGAATTAATGGAAGCGGAAGTGGAAATGAAGTTGGGGATGGTAAAAATACTAAAAGTAGAACTTTGGAAGAGGTGGTGGATACAAAGACTAAGAAAGATGAGTTATAAATGAATTGTCATTATAGTGTGGATACTTGTACGTACGTAGAATATTATTTGAATTGCCCTGGTAACCTTTTTGTGTTTTGTTCCTTGCTTGTTGGCTAGATTCTTTGTTTTTGATATTTCCTTCCTGTATGGAAATGGATTGTTAGTAATTGCACAACTCGCTGTTGGCACTAGGTGTCGCCATTCCTATTCTTTTATGATTAATGAGACATATTGCTCTGTACTGCAGAGATATGCAAATAGTAGAAGAAGGAGATTTATAATCTTACCTTCTCGAGATCATCTAAAGGATGTACTTATGTATAATCTATCTCTCCTTATAGTAAATCCTTGGCCCCTACTATACCATAATAAATGCTTCTAGTTACTTTCCTCATAGAGGAAGAATGACTTCTATCTAGATAGGTGTATTTCCTTTTATAAAGATGGTACTTATCACTTATTGATTCTATTATACTCAATGTGTATAATAAACTGCATTGGTAAGATTATGTTAACTTTAAAACTTTCAATGTCTGAAAGAATTTCAACCTCCCAAATCTCTTATTTTTGGACTACCATCTGGACTATTGATACACTGATTGATTTATACTGTATCGCTTTTCTTCGGTACCTCAGAATTTCATTACAGGGAGACTTTGTCTCATGCATGGAAAGAAGCTTTGAACGGATCTAACGGTCATCAATCCCAATTTATACTACCCTTGAATATAGTGAATCTAAAAAGTTTGGATTCAATTCTGCTTAGAACTTGTGAAACGAATGCTAGTTAGCCGTATTTCCCTTGTTAATGTTTGGCTGTATTTATATAGTCAATGTTCCTTGGTTATTTTAGTGTCATGTATAGAGCCGTATACTACCCAAGAAACTACTATTTCAGTTCTTCCGCACACATACAACTTTAGATTTTACAACCTCTTAATCAAAACTACTCTAACTAGTGCAGCCACTTCTTTGGACCTCATCCTCTTTTCCTATCAATCAAAAGACATTTATTGAAACTAGTATCATTATTACCCCTTCAAATTTCAATATAAACACCCATTTCTTCAACAAGGAAACACCATAACAACTTCAAGATGTCGACAGAATCCTTTTTCGTAAGTAATTTTCTAGCTATTCAATGATAAGCAAAACAACCTCAATGGGGATTTTTTGGCTAATGTACTCGAAATAGCCATTCAATCAAGATCATCCAAAATTTCCCGCGGCATTATGCATCCTCCAGAATAGCTTCAAGGCAAGAGATGAAAGAGATAAGGATATTCTTATTGAGCAAGTTAACAACGTCAGCTACGTTGGCATGTTCGAAAACGGGTGTTGCAAAGCTTTCTCTGGGACTTTTCGGGGCTCATCCAAGGACTTCTGCCTAATCGAAAATATGAATCCGGATATCCTTACAGAGTTCTTTTTCGATATTAAACACAGCATTAATCCTTCACAGCATGCAGACATTACACCTGCGGTGAAAGGTGTACGAGATATGCGCAAGCTCTTCTTTATTAGCTGTAACTATCTTGACCCAGAGCATGTTATTGTTCGCACATATTCCAAGTTAAGAGATTTTGATTGGAATGACCAGGTGCAGATCAATAATCTCAATCTCTTCCGTCAGGCAGCCATCACTGAGGCCTGTGGTGTCACTGCTTTTGAAGAAGATGGTACCATTCTCAAGCCACGGTGGATGAAATCTATGGTCGGAGAAGGAACTGGCGCGCAAAAGTCAAGAAAGCGGAAGGCGACTTCTATTGAAGGACCTTCGAATGGCAAAATACAGAAAGATCCAAGCCTCCCGACTCAAATGGGAAGTCAAGCTCTGACTCCGAATCTTGTTCAGTCGCCTGCACAAACCTTGCGACCACGGCCGGCTGCACACGTTTTCCAGTTCCGACCTACTGCACCACAGTTTCAGCCTACTCTACCAACATACAGGACTATTGGTATGCAACATCAAGCTTCAGGAGCACCAATAGCATTTCCTGCACGAAATCAAGAACAAAGAATGCAAGGTTTATGGCGTGACATGCATACTGGTCGGCCTGTGCCTAGCCCAGGATATATGTCCCCTCAACTTAGTCAAAGTGACAGCCATGTTGCCTTTCCTCAGAATAATCAACAATCTAGAATGAACCAGTTTCAAGGCCAAGGATTTGGAATGAATCAACAAGGTCCACAAGGTTATAATCCACTTCCAAACCAAGGATTTGGAATGCCACATCAGAGAGCTCAAGCGAATTATGGATCTTCGCTTTACTATCCAACACAGAACTATTTCCCGTCCCAGACTCAAGGACTTGGGATGGTTCAGCAGCAACATGTTCAGCAAGGATATAACCCATCACAAAATTATGGGAATGTACCTCAATATCTGTCAGCGCAAGGGCACTTCCCGCTCCAGCCCCAAGGATACGGAATGCATCAGCAACCTGCTCAACAGGGGCTTTCCCAGCCTCAAAATCAAGATTATGGAATGCACCATCAACCGACTCAACTAGGATCCATTCAATCCATGAGCCAAAGTTATGGAATGAATCAACAGATTCCACAAAGCCACAATCAGATGCACAATCAGCAAAGCTACAACCAGAGAACATTCTCTGATACACAGCAAACACCCAGCCAATATAGCATGGGCACTATTGCCGGCACTGATTACGGACAAGTTCCTAATCAAATGACTACCTCCATGAATGCGAATTCACATTGGCAGAATTCTAGAACTGCGGCTGGAGGGGCTGCTCAACTAGCTTCCGTGTCTCCACAAGATTTGGCGGCCGTGTTCGCTGGTACTGATATGACGCTTGAAGAATTTCTGAACATGGAAACATGATTCAGGGTATCCAATAATCTAGAGTGCAGTGACTCTGATATGACTAGTCCAGAATTAAGGTTGGTTGGCTACTCGGGGAGGATCACAAGCACCGTAACTGAGGGAGGTCCGCTGACATCAAAGGATGGCAGTGATGGTACCAAGGGGGAGTTTGGAAGGAGAGAATAGATATGAGACTAATATGATCTACTAACTTTTGATGCTACAGTCCGGGTTTCCAGTTTTGCTTTTGTCTATTTAGCGATGATTTTTCTCAGGTTATTATAAGGAGTTGAATGGACTAGAGGGCAGATACAAAAGCAGATTAGCTTAAGATACTTCTTAGCAGAATAGAAGATAATTATTTATCATAATACAATCAACTACCCAAGCCGGCCGTCTGACCTGATGTGTACTAATGGAAATGGTGACTTGACTGTGTTATATTGTGCAGAGGCTTGATATTATAGAAGCTTTCGCTCCGTGAAGATTTCTATGTTTGCTAAAAAACTATGGACTTAATTTGAGTAAATTGAAGGACTTCTCATGCCATAATTGGTTTGCGAGGTCGCGTGACTTTTTGGAAAGTCGCGTGTCCGTTGCACTTTCCTGTCATTCTGACCATAGTCTTCATACTTATTTTTCCAACAACAATCCTTTAAACAATTACATATGTCTTGAATTTATAAATAATTATTTCGAATTGCATTATTTAACTTTTTTGCCTCGCTCACTTATAATCTAATACGCAACTAAGCTGCTGCCAGCTCATCAGTGGATTGCAAGAGTTGGTACAATCAATCAGCTCCTTAATTGTTATTTGCAAAGCTAATCTACTGTCAAAAGCTTCAAGCGTCTTCATAAGATACATTATTTCATATTATCTTTTCAAAATGATCGATCTTCACAAAGTCATCATGGATGAGTCTAAATCTATGATTGTAAGTAGCCCTATGTGCTTTGGTACCCGAATCAGTTAGCATGTAACACATACCTAGAACTCTTTCGTTAGTATTTACATACTAACTAAGATTACTAGACTCCTGAAAGCTTTGTTAGCATTTTCAACTTTGTCCCCTATAATATGATCCCTCATCCTACCTCTTTGACAATTGAACAGAGGCAAGATGTTAGCCCCGCCGTCTTAGGCAAACCTGAACCTCACAAGTATATCTACCTCCACTTCAAATATTCGGAAATTGGAATATCTAAGCAGATCATTATGCATCAATACCGAAACTACCGCAGACACAATTGGTTTAGTCAGGATGATACTGACAAATTGAACTTGTTTCGAATTGCTGCTATTGCATTGCAAAAAGGTGTTGATATTTCGAGGGGTAAGAGGCGCTGGAGATATCTTACTGAAGAGGAGAGGAAAGAGTGGTTGCCAAGGTTAAGAGAGTTTGCCGAGGAGACTGAAGTTAGAGAATCTAGAGAGCCAGTCGAAGAGGCACTTGAAAAGGCCACCCACGAGGAATACGCAAATGAAGAAGTTATGGGTGACGCGGCTGATGAAGCAGTTGATGAATCAATGCAAGGATCAGTTCAAGGATCAGTCCAAGAACCAGCCAGAAGATCAATTGGTGAAACCATTAGCGGAACGATGGAAAAAGAATCTAGCAGAGAAGAACCCGAGTCGGATAATGTTGCTGTCAATCGCGAACATAAAGTGCCTTTCGGCAATCTCGAAGAATCCGGAAATGAATCTATTATTCCTCAAAGCGGAGAGCCTTCCGTTTTTCGAGGTCACCGCCCCTGACTACCTTTTGGCTTTTCAGGATGCCAGATTGCGAAAGGATTGAATGCTACCCGGCACACCAACGACGACACAGTGTCTCTCATCGAGGCGCTAAGAAACCTCATTCATACGTTGAAGGACGATTCTCCGAATATGAATCACCATATACTAGTTCTCCATTAACTGATTCCCTATCAGCCGCTGTTCCATCAAGAACTTCTATGGAAAAAGCGAAGAGATCGAATTCGGCCGAGGCGTCTGATGTATTGACTTCTGCTCTAAATAGTGAAGACCAAGGAAGGGTTTCTTACTTTAACGCGTCGGGTAACTATAGGAAGGAGCTACAGTAGAAGGCAAAAATATCTGTGTATACAAACAATGCTCAACTGGTGAGATGTGGACAGCGGTCATTGAGATAAGGAGAACTTTCATAGCGTTTTAGGAGAAGCGACGTTCATATTGAACAATATTTTCAGCTTGACAATGCAATAACATAACAATCATTCTATTTCATTATTTATAACTAGACTTGGTGAATATACGCAATACTCCGCATATCTAAGCAGGACCTCTACCGATCCAAACACGGTAGCTTCTGAAAGGGCCTCTTCGCTTATCAATATTCTTGTACTGTCTACCAGGAGCAAGTCCTTGTTGGTTGGTAGTAAAGTATAACCATCCGTCCAAGATAGCCATGGTGTCTGCAGCCTGAAGCTGACCACCACGGACAAGTGTCTTGAGGTTGTAGTTGGCAGCTGCTACCATTCCGGAGCCACCGGCTGGGATGCCATTGATTTCATCAGTGACTTCGGATTGTTGGGTATCGGCATATAGGATTGCATTTTGCTAATTTTTGTTGTTAGTGATCTGAGAAAAAAAGAGCAGAGTAAAGGAATACATACAGCAGAAGCACAAATATATACTCGGCCACGATCATCAGCAGTGAAACCAGCTTGTTCAGAAGGGAAGTTTCCTGGGTTTTGAATTACAGCTTCGATTTCTGCATCGGTCAAGTTGGAGGTGAATGCTTCTTGAGGAGCATAGTACCAGTGGTTGGAAGCCTTAACTCCCCAGTATACATTTCCTCCGGTTAATGCAATACCGTTAGTTCCAGAGTTGAGAACCGAAGATTTAGTACCGGACCAGTTTCTGATGACGTCTCCGTTGTACATGGAGATGAAGTTTGGATCCGGAGTAGTGAAACTGCTGTTGAAGATATGTCTGACGGTGGCTCCAGTCTTCAAGTTGATGGTTGAGATTGATCCGTATGCTGAGTCTTCAGTGATGAATGCATATCCAAGAGTATTGTTGATCTTGATGTCATTCAATTGGAGCTTGACATTGTAGAGCTCAGGTGGGTAAATGTAGGTGCGGATTACCTCTGCAGTAGTGTAGTTGAATGAGATGACCTTAGCTCCGTATGGAGTTGGCTGGGCACTTTATATCAGTCAGCTGATATTCTTGAACCAGAAAGCTCTGCTACCAGACTACTCATCGAAGAAACAAAAACGGAAATATCAACGTACGCTCCATTGGGAACTCCACTATCAATAACCCAAAACACACCCTCGGCGTCCAAAACCACATTTTGAACATTAACAAAGCATTCCGATGCATTTTGACCAGCAGCACAGTTTTGCCATTCAGCAGATGGCCAAGGTGCCTCACTATTGAACCCAGTGGCCTTTGTAAGAGTCCAGTTTTGTGGTTCCATATTGCGTGCATAGGTGAAGAAAAGATTGGCATCCAAATCTACAGCCAATCCAGTAGGAGCACGAACATACTCATGAACGGCTTGCAATTCTGGACCGATGACATCCAAATCCCCAGAACATAGTCCAATTGTGGTGAGATTCGTGCGCTGTTGTGATAATGGTACTGGACATGTTCCGTTGAGGCCTTGAGCGGCTGCTGTGACGGCTAAAGCGGCTAAAATGAATAACATCTTCACGGTTTTCGGGTAGGCCGCGTATTGATGAAGAGACTTGAATAGCAAGAATGGGTAGATTGAACAACGCCCTTACATTGGAATGTCTATTTATTTGAATAACTCTATGATGCCACTTAGAGCCCGCCACTTACGCCATTGAGAAACTTCGGCGTTGAGGCTTTTAGGTTTGTGAATATGGAGCCGTCGATTAATGAAGAACTTGGCACCACTTGGCACTCTCCGCTATTTTACGTACCTTACAGTATAAAGTAGAGTGCTAAAAAAAAACAAGAATTACAGTCCGCAATCACGCTCCATCATGCATTAAGATTCTAGATTTCAATTGTCTTATTTCTCGCCTGGAAAATGTTCATGTTCAGTCATCGCTAACTGGGTATATCTATTGTCCCACTTCCTAAATCATTCGATGTCCAGGCGAATAACTGCTAAATTTTACAGTGTAATTGATTAATACTTTAATTCAATGTCCGTCTAACTATCTCCAGACTATACAGAATTTCTACAAGTGGAATAAAATGGAGTAGAATACGGAAACAAAGGATAAAATAGCTCATTCGCTAATTACGAATGATCAATCCGAAAGTTTCGAGGTCTTGAAATCGATTTCTATGTAACTCGAATTCGTATAGAAAAAGCTTAAAATTCACGAATTTTGTGGCTATGTCTGCATGGCGAAGGGACGCCGGCGATAGTGTTCGGAGACTTGGCACTCGATGCTGAAGAAATTCCCTTGATATTTGAAAAGGGGCTCGGCCAAAAATACACACTAAGTATCTTGTGGGGTGGGCAAATCGTCGGCTCCCGAGTGTTGGCATTTATGCTTCTTGGTGTGCATTTAAGTTACCTCATCTCGCTATGTGGATGATCAATCCATCAAAAGTCTTGGAGAATATTGTAACTTTCATTACGAGGTATTGAAGTTCTTTCCGACTTTATGAGAGCTATAGTTGGCATTCGAGTGAAGCAAATATTTAAACGAGGTAACTCCTACCGTTTCTCCTCATTGACAAGATTTATATCAGCTTCTCACTGTATGTTGTCTCTTGCGGACGATTGTCCGTTGGACTACTGAGTACCTACTTGTACAGATGAAAGAAAGCGGAGGAGAGTGCGCGAATAATCAACTGATGATAATTACCACTGGACTAACATCGCAACCGCCTTAATGCTTCTTCTAAAACGACTTCATTTGTTCCTGTCTCTTATATCTTAAGGCACCTGGATCAAAATCCTAACGCACAAGGTCGCTTATGGAGCTAGATCCCGTGATTAACCCCCTAAATTCCCTGCAGTCTGAAATTCTGTACTTTTTCTCATGTCATCCAGCGATGTATCCGGCGTATAGTGAGAAAGCCATGTGCCTGATGC